CTCGAAGAAATCCTTTTCAACAAAGCAAGGCGGTAAGCCAAAAGCCCGGGTAGCTACGGGCTCAACACCAGTTTCCGCTCTGCTCTCTGGCCGACCCCTCTTCCTGCTAACCAGCTCGGCCTGTTGCTCGATGTCGGGAGAACCTGAGGACCCACTGGACGCGTCTCTGTCCGAATCAGCGGGCGGGCCCATCCGCGTGGCCTGCTGTGGTCTCACCAGTCTCTTACTTATCTTTTTATCCTGGGTCAACTTCAGCAACCTCTCTCGACGTTCCGCCATGTGACCTGCAAGAAGAGCGAACCCGGGTTAGCTACAAGCGATTAAAGGCAATTAAAATGGAATAACAATAAGAGCAAAAGCCATAAACCTAGGAGATCTACGACCTGCCTGTAGGATTGACATTCAACGAGCGCCTTGGTATTGATAGGGCGTGCCTCGAACGTCGGGTAGCCATCCTCATCGAGAATGTCGTCCCCTTCCCTCGTGACCCACCGAGCGGGAAAAAAGCCATCAACAAACTTACAAAGGACATCATAGGCCTCCTCATCCTCGGTACTCATGCTCCCCGCAGGGGTATGATAGTGCCCGGGACCATGGTCATAATGATCCGAGCACCAATGAATAGGGAACCTGGAAATCCTCCCGACTGCGGGACTACCTTTAGCATCCAAAATGGGCTCCTCGTCCTCGTCGACCACCACAATGGCCGACTCGAATAGAGAATCCAGGTCCGTCTGGGTGGCCGGTTGCAAGATGTACCATTTGTCTTTAAAATCCCTCACCGAGTCCATTTACATCCTAAACAGTCTCTTCGACTGCTTAAGGGATACCCAGCTATGTTTGCCTCCTCGAGACTGGCATTGCAGAGGGAAAACCCTGAAGAACAGGGGAATCGTCGCCCCAATTCTCAGGAAACAACATGTTAGCTCGAACGCCCGGAGAAAGGCCATCGCGTTGGGGTGGAGCTGCGAGGGGCCAGGTTCAGATGATTGAACACCCCGACCTGGAAGTCGCTAAAAGGCAACCTAAGACCAAGATCCCTGAATACAATCTCATACATAGGGAACGCATATTCGGTGAACTCCGAGCAGATGCGAGCATCACTCGTCGGCCTCATTATTTTAAAATTCCTTTGAAATCCTTCCTGAGTACCGCCGTACTCGATGACGGTATAAGCTCGTCTACTGCGATGGTTGTACGCCGAAGCAATTCCCCGGGGCTCAGCGCCCACCCAGTCTAGTGTGGGGTCATCGATGATGTCGACCAGGGTAACGTTCTCTTCTGTTGTACTCGCTTCCTCGACGTCATTACGTCCCGAGGACTCCGGGTTATCAGCCATTTACCTACAAAGTACAAGAAACCGGTGAATTTGACAGCAAATCCGCGTGCTCGCCATAAAGGCGGGGAGAAGTATGCAACACTCAGATCAAAACTACAACCATTCGAAGTGGATCTCGACCAAACACCGACACCCCAACGCCGACCACGCATCAGTCATGAATGGCACGAGCGTAACATGAGCGCCCCGGACGGATCTTGAATCACACGACCAAGTTCATAGCTTCGCTTACCCGATGCTAGAATACTGCGAGGAGACTACCCTCCATACTATCTAAAGGATGAATATCCCGGTCAATCTCATGACTCTACCGACCAAATGCATGAGTATCGCGGGCAAGATCATGAATCATATGCCTAAATTTATGAGCATCTCGAGCACAACCATGAATCAGGCGCCTAGCGCGCTTAAATCTACCGGGCATAACCTCCAGATACAGGTTTCTATTATCAAAACGAAATCAAAACTATCAACAACACAAGGAAACAGGAAGGAGATAAACTTACTTGGAAGAAGATGAGTAGAAACTACGGTGGTGGGAGTAATCAGACGGTGAACGGTGCGACGGTCTCAACGGTGTTACGGGAACCAACGGTTGTAAAAACAGAGAAAGCAGGAGGAGCGTGAAGAGGTGAAACAGACTAATGGGCCCAAGAATCCTATTTATAGAGATGACGTGGAATGTGAAACATCGCACCTGGGAGCCACGAACCATCCCCCGTCCTCGACACCTACTCACCTAGACAATAATGGCCCCATTTACTAAGGCGGAGTTGCGATTTCCAAGGATTGCGCCACATGTCCGACGGACGTAGCTGACACATCCCCGCGAGCGATCCTCGAGTATGCCTCGAAAGGGAAAGCCCGACTCGGGCACGAGGTCCCCGCGAAAAGAGCAAACTGAGATCAAGTCGTAACTCTTGTGCCAGGAACGATGACTTGGGGGGCTCCTGTTCTGGACTGGGTCTGTCTTAGCCCAAAACACAAGTAAAGGCCCAAATCCAAGCAGTTCCTCGAGCTATGCTCGGAATCAGACCACCCCGAGCATACCCAGTTACAGGCCACAACGGTTACGCCCGCCGCTAGCCGCAGCGAACAGCGTCCCCGACCGAGGGCACTCCATCTTGAGCATCCTCCCCGTAGGGCATACTCTGTCCCCTCCGAACACTAAGGGACCCTTAAAACTCTGGAAAGACCGCGTCTTCGTTCTTCCTCATTCTTCGCAGAGCACCATCCAGGAAGGGGACCACGTGCGGGTCCCCACTACACACGTAGAACCTGGCAGTCCCTTTGTTGGGCCAATTCTGGTCGGCCTAATAAAGGGACCTTGGCCCAGCACTGGGGGCTATAAATACTCTCTACTTCAAGAAGGTCAGATATTCATTCGTTACGCACCTACATACTTTTTGCCTGCCCATTCCGTCTCTCATTTTATCATCAGAGTGTCTTGCAGGTACCCCCATCTCATTCAAATCCAGTTCGAGCCAGCTGTGACGGTCCAATTCTGACCCGGTAAGATCAATATATATAATTTATAAATTATTCATTAATTTTTTACAAGAATATATTCATTTAATATTAAATATTTTATTTTAATATTATTAATTATTAATAACATTCAATTTTTAATTATAATATAAATATCTTTTTAATATAATAATCTTTTTAATTACAACATAATAATTAATTATCATTTTTATAATAAAAATTTAAAAGTGTCATTTAAATTTAATTTAACTTTTAAAATTACAATTAAAAAATATTTCTTATATTTTTTATAAAAAATTATTCATAATTTTAAATAAATAATTGAACGACAATTACATTTAACAATTATAATTAAAAATATAATTATTGTATTTATCGTTTAATTTCATATCATAAATTTATTTTAATATTTAATTTTTAATTATAAATTTAAGTTATTTTTTATTTATAATAACTCAATTTAATTATATTATAATTAAATATTTTTCAAAATAAAATTAAAATAAATTTAAGATATCAGATGATTTTGAATATGCATATGTAAAGTCATTTAATAACTCAAATTTATAAAGTGTGTTTGGAAATGTATATTCAAAAATTATTTTTGTATTTTTATAGATGAAAATCACCATTATTAAGTGTAAATAGAAATTATCAGAATTTAATGATGAAAAAAGAGAATGCTTCAACACTTAAGAATATTTGTTTTATTATGAAAATAAAATATTTAAAATTATTTTATATGATTTTTAATTACTTTTTTAAATTTATTTTTTATAAAATAAAAAACAACAAATAATATAAATATATAATAAACTTATAGTCAAATAACCTTTATGCTTTTTTAGAAAAACACATAAATATATTTTATTGAAAATTAAAGCATCATAAAAATTACATAATTTAAAAAAAAATAATTAAAAAAAATAAAAAATAAAAAATACAGTATTTTTTTTCACAATATAAATAAACAGTAATTATTGGTAAAAGAGGATTTTGTTTCACATGAATATTATAAAAAGTAATTAATCCTAGAAACATAATCCTCGTTTCTGTTATCGGAACGGAGGAGATCTTTGTTACATAGATTTTCGGCAGAAGAAAACCCAAAAAATTCTCCACGTCATATTTCAACAAAATTTTCCGATTTTGCTCACCAATTTCAACTCTATCCCTTTTATTTATTTTTAAATTTTTGGGTCAGTTATATTTTGAGGTGAAAAAAATATAAAAATTTACCCTCACTTTCTGAGTCACTTGTGTTGTAGCCGAATTTCGAATAATGGTAGAGACGTTAACACAGATAAATTAGAGAGAGAGAACACAAAGATATTGCTTCTTCATCTCGAACCACTAACATGTCTAGCTCAGGTATGTTTTTTTTTGGTTTGATTTCAGTTTATGGTTTTATTGTCGTGTTAATGATGTTTTCATTTATATTTTAATTCTCTAGGTTTTTTTTTTTGGTTTCATGATGTTTGTTGCAGATTACAATGTAAATTTTGGTTGGTTTGATGTTTTGTCTGTTGGGGGGTGGTTTTTATGTTAGAGTAACATCTAGGTTTGTGTTTTTTTTTTTTTTGCTGAGAATGTCTGCACTTGATTTTTAGGATTTGTGAAATTGTGTGTTTTTTTACTTTATTGATCTTTTCTTAATGTTGGTAAAAGAGGGTTTTCCATAGTTATTGGAAAGTGTTGATTTTTTTGGCAGTAGAAACGTGTTTGTTTTGGAGGGTGCTGTTGGGGCAAACATGTGATTATGATTTGTCATGTAGTGGAAGATGGTTTTTGAAGTGTTGTTGTTTTGAAAAGGGGGGAGTGTTATTTGAAGAAGGTTTGTTACTCTCGCCATGAGTTGGCGAGTTGTTGTTTTGAAACGTTAATGACGGACACTTGCGAGTTGAGATTCATATATATTACAGAGGGGTTTTCATGTGGCATATATGCATTTATTCGCCAGTTTGTGTTACTCGTACTTGACCGATAGAAGAACGAGAATCTTGGAGTTAAAATTAATTTGGAGTTTTGTAGATTACTAATGGCGATATAGTGTTTTACTGGTGTTTAGTGAAAATATCCGTAGCTTTTTGAGATGAAGATTTGATTTTTTTTTGGGAGGGGAAGACTGGAGTTTGGTTTGTATTGATGATAGGATTGATTCAAAGCAAAGTAAATGGTTTCGGTGGCGACACCAGTTACTTATATGAAGATCCACTATGGTTTGAGCCTCTCCACCATAACCATCTTTTATGGATGAATTCTACCATTAGAGTTATCTAAACTGTTGGTCTGTTTGACTAATAGCATGTTTGGATTAGCTTTTGGAAGTGTCAAAAAGCAATTCTAGAGGTGTATAATTGATTTTGAGTGATTTTAAGGTGTTTGATTCTTCCAAAGTAGAATTGATTCTGCCTCTAGAATTGATTCTACTTGAAGCTAGAATTTGTAGCTTCTGAGTTTAAACGTGATTTTTACACTGAAATTTGTTATTCAACTCATTTTTACATAAATGTATTCAAACAAAAATCAATTATGCTAAACTCAATTCTGTCAAAATCAATTCTACCAAACTTATGAGCATGCCATATGCTGATTAGAGTTTCTCTTTTTTCAGGGCTTATCGAAAAGCACCAATTGGAGCTAGACAATTTGACACTGACCACTCACCCCATCAAAACACTAAAATTCTTCACATTAGCTATTGTACAATACTTGAAGAAAACGACAAGATATCTTTTGGCCAAAGGTGGATGGCTTTTGCTTCTCAGTTTTGTGGTAGGGGCCTTTAGCATAATGCTCATTTCTATCGATGGTCCTCATGAAAAGGTATTCTTATTTATTCTATCAGTACTTTAGTATGATAGTTCTGAATCACAAAGAGTTCCACACATAACAGTTTATTTACGAGTCTTTTTTTCTATTATACACAAGCACCCTTAAAAATGTCAAATGTGGCCTAAACACACAAACCTCAAATTTAAGTTCACTGGAGAAAACTTGTTCGCGGCTTAAGCCCCACAAACACACCTATGAACATTGTTTTGAGTTATTAGCTTCATATTGTTTTTCAGGTAGTGATTTTTGTTTGTTTTGATTATTAGATACTCATAGGGCACTGAAATTTTTTGTTCTTTCTGCAGCATCTTGAGGAGCTACTTAAATATTTTCGCTTTGGAGTATGGTGGATAACCCTTGGGATTGCATCTTCAATCGGTCTTGGTAAGTAAAAAATAGGCATGAACAGAGATGACTTTGGGTTCCTGTACTTGATTGTGTTATTCCTGGTTTGTTAGTACTTAGTAACAAAATTGATCTTAAGGCTGCCCGTGTCATTTGGATTTACTGAAAAAAATTGCTTGCAATACATAACTTTCATACTTATGAGCAATAACCATACTTATGATTCTCCGAACATCTTTATTATATAACCGAATGAGTTCTTATTTGTGCTCTTTGGTTTAGGGTCTGGTTTGCATACTTTTGTTCTATACTTGGGTCCCCACATAGCATTCTTTACAATCAAAGCCATGCAGTGTGGCCGAGTTGATTTGAAAAGTGCTCCATATGATACTATACAGTTAGATAGAGGTCCTTCTTGGCTTGATAAGGATTGCTCGCAATTTGGGCCGTCGTTGTTTCAGTCAGAATATGGTTCACAGATTCCAGTCGGCATCATTTTGATTCAAGTTCAGTTGGAGGCTGTTTTATGGGGCATGGGAACAGCCATCGGGGAGCTTCCTCCTTACTTTATCTCCAGGGCAGGTATGCTGAGCATATTGCATGACATGTATTTATCTAAATTTAACAAAGTCGTCGTTAAATTGAAATAAAAATCTGGCTAATATTATTGAAGAAAATATGCTTGTTTACCATGTGATTTGACTGTTAAAACCTGCTCTCTGTCCTCTGAATTGCACTCCTCACTTTCGACAAGCTAAAATATTTGATAGATGTACTTCACCTGTAATAGTTTAGTTAATTACTTTAGGAACTGGTTCATACATGATTCTAATCAAATCATTTGTGTAGCACGCCTGTCTGGGAGCAAAATGGATGCAATGGAAGAGTTAGATACTGAAGATGAAGGAATCATCACAACCTACTTAAATCGCATCAAGCGTTGGTTCTTATCACATTGTCAACATTTAAATTTTTTTACCATTTTGGCACTTGCTTCGGTTAGTACTTCTGTTTAATAGTATGATCATTTTTCTTCATTGAATGCATATATAACAGTTTCTTTTGTGAACAAAATTTCTTGAAATATTAGTGAAGTATATTCAATATAACAGTGTGATAGAGACCAAATAAGGGTCACAAGGAACCAAAACCAAATATGCTTCATGAAATAACTGAATTTGCATTTCAGGTTCCAAATCCTCTATTTGACCTTGCTGGTATCATGTGTGGACAATTCGGCATTCCATTTTGGAAATTCTTTCTTGCAACTTTCATCGGAAAGGCTCTTATTAAAACTCACATACAGGTAGTTTAAACTCATCTTATTTTTCCCTTACCAACTAATTTACTGTTGTTGGCGCTCTTGCTTTTCTTTATAATGACTCCCAACATTGACTGAGGTCACATATTTATAGGGACCAAAAACATTGTTCGGCTAAGCATATTTGATTAACCCTTTATGTTATACTCTTTGCGCAGACAATATTTATCATCTCAGTTTGCAATAATCAGCTTCTTAACTGGATAGAAAATGAACTTATCTGGGTTCTTGGTCATATACCTGGTTTCGCTTCTATTTTGCCTAAAGTGATTGCGAACCTTCATTCCGTTAAAGATAAGTATCTGAAAGCACCTCATTCAGTTTCTCCAACTGTCAAGGTAACCATAAACAACAATTTAACATGTTTATCAATGTTACCAAGGTTGAATTGCTTACCCTAATAACTATTTCGTCTATCATCTTCAGGGAACAAGATGGGATTTCTCGATTACTTCAATCTGGAACACAGTGGTGTGGCTTATGCTTATGAATTTCTTTGTTAAGATAATAAATTCAACTGCTCAGAGTTATTTGAAGAAACAGCAGGAGATAGAACTAGCTGCATCAAACATTTCTACATCAACAGATTAGACATAGCAATAACATGCTCATCGTCGCGTTTCTGCTTGTTTTGCACTTTTTTTTAGCTGCTCTTGCAAGCAGAGAGATATTTGAATTATTATAGAACATTCCTGAAGGTCTCTTAAGAGGTTCTGTAGACAAACAAACACAATAGGTAACATAAGTTATGACATTCATTTTAGGTATAACCATTGTTTGGGATGGCTTTCAGATTTTAACCACTTATTATTCTCTACTATATTGGATTCATTCAAGTCCTATGATTCTGTTTAGAATATGAAATGGTTTTGGTTAAGATTAAAGCAAGAGTGATATACTACTAGTTTTTAAGTTATCATTGTATATTTAATTTAATATTTGCAGAATTTGATCTCAGATAGTATTAATTAAATCAATTACAAAATGGCTTATGGGGACACCTTCTGGAAATTGTGGTCCATGTAAAATATTTACCAAGTAGATTACGTTTGTGAGTCTGATTTAATATTATATCTATATAGTTAGTGGAAAATATTTTATATTATACACGTGTCTAAATAATATGGTGGCATATCATTTTTTAATTAATAAGAATATACGACATCACATCATTAATTGATTATGGGGCCAGATGAGTTAAAGGTGAAAAAAATTTAAGGGGTTTGCAATGCAAGATCCTCTCGGTCATTTTAAGCACACCATTAATAAGTGAACCCCCTCTCATTCTTTCAATTCTAGTAATCTTTAAACCCCCTCCAACACAAACAAGTCAGGAAAAATAGTTCAGCAAATATAGTTCAGTCTGATGGTTCCTATAATGAAGAAGATTTGCTTTGTGCTTCATCTGTAAAGTGCGCTGATGCAAGGATTCTTGATTCTAGGTGCTTCTATCATATGACGCATCGGAACGGGTTCAACTATTTTAAATCAAGTGATTTTGGTTTTGTCTATTTAGGTGATGATAAAACTTGTACCATCACTAGAAATGGGAAAATTAAAATTTCTTTAGATGATCACTATTACGGATAAGGCCTTTAATAATGGTTGAAAATGATATATAATCACGCGGGACCAAACGTTGTTATGTAGCGTGTGGTTGTATATGCGTAACTTACCATTACAGTTCAGAGACCGTTGTAGAAAACTGGAAAGCGCACGTCCTATCACAACAGTTGTTCCAAAGAACAGTTGTGTTATAAATATAGGTCCATGATTCGATTCTCAGCAGCTCCGTTTTGATATTTATATTATTCTGGACAGGCGCGGGATATTACAACGGTTGTGTTATTTAACCGTTGTGAAACTTTCTGATGAAGTAATAAATTTAATTCTGCTTTTATAATTTTCCTCATTTTTTATCCTGTATTTTGTGGATCATATCACAACAGAACAATCTCAGTATAACAGACAACTTGCATTTGTGATATAGTTATCATAATAATAATAATAATAATAATAATAATAATAATAATAATAATAATAATAATAATAATAATAATAATAATAATTTTATCATAATAACAATAAAAATTGAATTAAGAATAAAAAATTATATATTACTTCAAAACCATAATGTCACAATTAAAACAAACTCCAATTTACACATTACAAAACATCACATAAATGTATTTTGGTATTTTGGTTTCATGTCTATACGTGTCTTTGTTTCTTGGTGTCTTGACATATAAATACCTATGGTTTCAAATAATCATACTTGCATTGGTAAATATATGTAGAAATTATAACATACAATTAATATATTATGAATTAATAATAACATACTTACTTGTTAATTTTCTCATATGCCTTCTTCATGATCGATTCGAATAGCATGCATAACATCTCCATCAACTTCATCATATGAGGCAGGAACTTGTGTTGTGTAAGAAGGAGTGGACGAAATATCAAGAACTTCATCACTAAGAGGAATGTGTTTTTCCTTGGAGAACGATTGAAAATTTCCCCGATATCTCAGAAGAGTCAGTCACATAGAATATTTGTTTTGCTTGAGAAGCCATGATGAATGGTTCAGTCATAAAAGATGTCTTGTCAAGGTCAACCCATGTGAATCCTAAGTCATCAATATGTACACCATACTATTATTGAGAATCCAAGTGCATTTAAATAAAGACACTTTGAAAATAACATAATCAATCCCCAAATCTCCTCAATGACACCATAGAAAGCAATAGTTTTCAATATAGGATTCTTATCTTTTGAACTATAGAAATACATCGATTCAGATTCAACCATAACCTCACTATTTTGCATTGTACTACGATTATATTTTGATTTTGTATAAAAGGTATTATGAATAATATCGTATGCAGTCCAAGTTATGACATTAAATTTTGACTCGTATGGCAACTACTTAAGTATCTCAGAGGCACTACGATCATTAGATACTCTTTTATTAAATCAATCTATGAATCTCTTGTTATGCTCTATCAACAACAACTTGTCGCTCATTCAAGGATATTTTTTCTTCAAAAATCTTTTGTGAGTATCTAGGTAAGGTTGCACTTCATCAATATTTTTCAATATATAGAAATGTGCTTGAATAACTAGGTCCCGAGACATTGACGTAAAATTTAGACCTTGAATACCTCTTCCGTCTGTGTGATCAGCATGACAAGACTTTGGAATGCCTATAGAATCTGCTTCCGACAAATAGTTTGTACAAAACTCAACAGCTTTTTCAGTGATTTACCTTTCAATAATTGAAGCTTCTGGTCGGTGATGATTCTTCGTATATCCTTTAAAGATATTCATATATCGCGCAATTGGATACATCCACCTTAAATAAACTGGACCACAAAATCTTATTTCTCTGACTAGATGAACAAGTAAGTGAACCATAATGTCAAAAAATAATGGAGGAAAGTACATCTCCAATTGACACAAGATTATGGCAGCCTCATCTTCTAATTCATCTAATTTTTTGAAATCAAGAACTTTATTCCATATGAAATTGAAGAATAAGCACAATCTGGTTATATTTACTCTCACATTTTATGGTAGGATCCCACGGATAGCCACTGGTATAAGTTGTTACATCAATACATGACAATCATGATATTTCAAACTAATTAACTTGAGATTTTTCATTGATACAAGTTTCTTGATGTTTGATGAGTAACTTTGGGGAACTTTGATACCATGCAAGCACTCGTAGAAAATTTTATTTTCCTTTTTAGATAGAGTGTGACATGTTGGAGGCATATAAGGTCTATTTCCTCTATCTATCGGAGCCAACTGTTTTTCGTATACCCATCGCCTCCATATCGAGACAGGAAGTCTTACTATCTTTAGTATTACCTTGAATGTTTAGAAGTGTTCCAATCAAACTATCACACGCATTTTTCTCAACGTACATCACATCAAGACAATGTCTAACATCAAGACTTGATCAATATGGAAGTTCAAAGAACACAAACCTCTTTTTCCATATATTTTTATCAACTGGCCCCTTTAGTTTTTCTCTCTTTCTGAAGATAATGTTAATGTGTTCCCGTCGTTGATAAACTTCATCCCCAGTTAAAGGTTTAGGAGCCATAGCAAACTCTTGCTCTTCATTAAAAGCCTTCCGCAATCTACGATAAGGATGATCGAGTTTTAGAAATTTCTGATGTCCAAGGTAAACTGCCTTTTTTCCAAACTCAAGTTGGTGATAACATGTATCAGATTCACATATAAGACACACTTTATGTCCTTTGACACTATATCCATCCAAATTATCATAAGCAATAAAGTCGTTGATTGTGCAAAATAACATTGCACGCATCTTAAACCTTTTTCCTAGAATATGCATCATCAACTTCAACGCCTTTATCCCACAAAAGTCGTAAAATTTTAATTAATAGAGCAAGATAAAAATCTATGTCGTTACCAGGTTGTCGTAGTCTAGAAATTATCATACTTAACAAAATATACTTATGCTTCATGCACAACCAAGGAGATAGGTTGTAAATAGTGATAAGAACAGGACACGGAGAATGATTAGTGCAAAGATTACCAAAGGGGTTCATTCTATCAGCGGCAAGCCCAAGCCTAAGGTTTCTTGGCTCAATTTCAAATTCGGAAACAACGAATCAATTTTCTTCCATTACAAAGAATCAACTACATGACGAATATTTTCATCACGTTTCCTTTCATCTGCATGCCATCTCATATTCTCTGCGTCATTTGTATTAGAAAAAAGTCTCTTAAATCATGAAATTATTGGCAAGTACCATAAAACTTTAGCAGGAGGATGCTTCCTACTAACATTGTCATAGTCATTATCATCACCAATATTGGCATTCATCTTGTAACGCGACACACCATATTTCATACATTGCTTCAAGTCTTTGTACTCTTTCCTATATAATATGTAATCATTAAGGCATGCATGTATTTTGATATACTTCAAACCCATTGGACACAATATCTTCTTGGCCTCATAAAAGCGATCCGACAAATCATTATCTTCTAGTAACATTTGCTTTAGAAAATCAAGTAATTCCGTGAAACTTTTATCCGACCATCCACTTTTTACCTTCAAATTAAACAACTTTAACACCAGAGACAATCGTGTAAAACTCGTGTATCCCTTATATAAAGGTGTGTCTTTATCACTAAATAAAATATCATAAATATGAGCATTCTTCAAAGAAGATTCTCCAACATCACAGAATATATTCTCTAGTCGATCATCCATATATTCATCTTCATTCACTCTTTGACTTTGTGACACCCGACTTCCCTCATTATCGACTTCATCATGCCACGTCATATTGTATATGATTGACATATACCAACAACACATAGGTGATAGAATATTTCTTTCTTTGTACCTTTACGGATATTCTCGCATTTAACATAAAGACAATAAAAAATACCATTATTGTTGGGAAGATTTTTAGCAGCATATTCTAGGAATTCATGAACTCCAATCTCATAAACTGAACATAATCTATTGGCTTTCATCCAACTACAGTCCATAACAACTTCTGAAATTTATACACGAATAATAGTGTGAATGACACACCAAAACTCTAATATGTAACATTGAGACGGGAACGGTATATTTTGCGAATGTTACGTTACTTTTGTTAACATGTTTTATGAGATTTTGGATGTTAAAGTGGGTTTTAATCCCAACTTTTGATGAGATTAAAATATTATGAGCTTTGATTTTATGGAAAAGTTTATTATGACAATAATTCCGCTACGATGTCTTTAAATGATGTGTTGTTTTATAATCAGATGTATCTATTAAATTGGTGTAACCCGTGTTATGGAGCATGATTGAATTATATGATGTTTTATGACGATGTGACACTCATGAGTAGTGATTTTTATTTTTAATTATTCGTAATTTTTATGGAATTTAGAAGGGTGTTGCAATCTCAATGAACGTGGGATGATGGAACTATATAAGAGGAATTTGTTGAAGGATATTCACATTTGAACAATTCAATTATGCAAGTATTATGTTCTTGGGAAACAATGTAGAGTTCGTTTCAAAACCGGGCAACACAAGACCAAGGGAATCTTAGACTATGTCCATTTTGATGTTTGAGGGCTTACAAAAGAGCCCTCTGTTGGATGTTCCAGGTACTTTGTGACATTCACTAATAATTTTTATCGTAAGATCTAAGTTTATTTATGAAATATAAATTTGAGGTCTTTGCCAAGTTCAAACCATGGAAGGCAGAGGTTCAAAACCAAACAAGGAGAAAAATAAAGTATTTGCAGTTTGATAATGAAACTAAATACAATGACAAGAAGTTCATGAATTTCTGTGAGTATAATGAAATTCAAAGGAACTTTTCTGTTAGGAAGACACCAAAACAGATTGGTGTTATAGAGAGGATGAACACGACTCTAACAGAGAAGGAAATGTGCCTTCAGTTGAATGCTGGTCTTTCAAAAGGCTTATGGACAACAACAATCAATATGGAATGCTACCAGTTAACATATCACCACGAGCTTCATTAGATGGAAAAGTTACAGAGGATGTATGGACAAGTAACCCAATTGATATTTGAGTATTTTTAGGTGTCCAACATATGAGCATATTTTCTGCGAGGATCAGTCTAAACTTGAGCCTAAGTCAAAATAGTGCATCTTTATTGGCTACAATAAAGGTGTGAATGGGTACAAGTTATGGGATTCGATTAAGAGGAAGGTGGTTGTCAACATATATGTTATATTTGATTAGCAGTCCATATTGAAATAGTGAGATGTGACAATTGTGCCAAATACTGAGATAGAAAATTCTAGTCAGTACAAGATTCAAGTGGACATTGAGGAGCCACCAGTGAGTCCAAAGCATATTGTAGCTCAACAACAGGACGGACCAAGTTCAGATACAAGTGGAGTTAGAGATTCAACAGAAGTACAAGACTATACTCTTGTGTGCGATAAAGAGCCCCATCTTATTACACCTCTAGTGAGATATGGATATAAAGACTTAGCAACATATGCTCTTTTTACCAGTTTATGATACCCTTCTATTTTTCGAGAGGCTATGGCTAGCTAGGAGAAATATAAATGGATGAATGTTATGGTGGAAGAGATGAGTCCTTGAGAAATAATGAGAAATTGGATCTTGTTCATCTGGCATAAGGAAAAAGAGTTATTAGTTGCAGGTGGGTGCACAAGAAAAAACCACTAGTAACATAAAAAGAAGGGGAAATTTCAAGGCTTGCCTAGTTACAAAGGAGTATTCAGAGTAGAAGGGGATTAATTATGATGATATTTTTAGTCTGATAGTTAGACACACTTCTATTAGAGCAGTATTGGCCTTGGGAGCTAGTAGGAATATGCATTTAGAGTAAATGGATGTGAAAACAGTTTTCCTCCATGGTAATCTAGATAAGAAAATATACATGGAGAAGCCAGAGGGTTTCAGTGGTACTGGAGATGAAAGATTTGTTTGCAAATTAAAGATGTCTTTGTATGGCTTGAAGAAACCCCCAAGACAATGATACAAGCGCTTTGATTGATACATGCTCCGAATTAGCTATAAAAGGTATGCTTATAATTGTTGTGTTTATGTGAGGAACCTTGATGATGGTTCTTTTATTTTTCTGTTACTTTATGTTGATGTTATATTTATTATTGCCAACCATTTGCATGATGTAAATGAGTTGAAGACCAAGTTGAGTAAGAAGTTTGATATGAAGGATCTGGGTGCTGTAAAGAAGATTCTTGGGGTGAAAATTCAAAAGGTCAGAGGAGGTAATAAATTATGATTGTCTTCAAAAAGCTATATTGAAGGTGTGTTGAGAAGATTTGACATGAGCAAGGCAAAGGCTGTGAGTACTTCATTGACAAATTATTTTAAGCTCTCTTTGGAACAATTTCCAAAGACAAACACAAAGATTGAAGGCATGCCTAAGATTCCTTATGTTAGTGCAGTTGGTTGTTTTATGTATGTTATGGTTTTCACTAGACCGTAATTGGCATAAGAAGTTAGTCAAGTGTGTAAGTTCATGTTAAGCCAGGAAAGAAATATTAGGAAGCAGTTAAGTGGAGTCTAAGGTACTTAAAGGGTACAACAAACTGTGATATGTTCAGCAAGGAGTATGGTGTTCCATCAGTTGTGGAATATGTGGATTCTAATTATGCTGGTGATCTAGATGATAAGAGGTCTATAACATGGTATATCTTTTACTCTTGAGGGAGGACCTATATGTTTGAAATCATTAGTCCAATGCATAGTAGCTATATGTACAATTGAGGAAGATCACATGGCAGTAGCTAAAGCTGCCAAAGAAGCATTATGAGTTACATGATTAGGGAAAGAGTCAAGTGTTGAGTAAGGCGGAGTTCAGTTGCATTGTGATAGTCATAGTGCTATCTATTTGGTGAATAATCAGATGTATCATGCTAGAACCAAGCATATTAATGTGATGTTCTACAAGATCAGGGAATTGTTGACGTCTGGACATATATTACTTCAGAAGGTTCACACTTCAGAGAATGCAACTAATATGTTGGCCAAGCCAGTCACCAATGACAAGTTCAAACACTCTTTAGACTTGTTACATGTTTCTCAGTACTAAGCAGGAGGTGTACCTCCCCAGTTTCTAAGATGAATTATTATGTAAGAAGTCTTCATAGGAGTTTCATATTCGGCAAGGTAGAGATTGTTGAATATGATTCATATTGTTGAGATAATCATAAGTTGTTAAAAATATAACACATTATTGAGATAATCATGGATTGTTGAGATAACAATAGGTTGTCGAGAGAATAACTCATACTGTTGAAATAATAATGGATAGAGATAATTGTTTGTTGAAGGAAACTAGGGATTAAAGTTTTAGATAATCTAAAATCTCATATTATATATATGACTTGTAACATTGTAATTAATATGCAATTCACAAGTAATAAATAAAGGAAATTATAACCACTCTATAGTTGCAAGTGTATGTAATTTGGTCGAACTGTGTGAACAAAACTTTTATATATTTCTCTCTACTCTGATATATATTCGTGTTATTGTTTTAACAAATTGGTTACCAAATAAAATCCTTTATACTTATCAATTTGATAGTTCTTTGTTACATGATATGGTTAGGGAAATGGAAGCTAGAAATTATAAGAATTTCAAAGTTATATATTACCCACTACTTTAGATGAAATTATGGACATTTTTAAACATGACAACGGGTGAGTCCGATTTTTGCATTCGTATTTGAATCTAAATCTCAAAGTTTAAATCTCAGTTAAATACTCATTCTCTAACATAAACTCAAACATATATAAATAATTGATTTCAATATCTATTTTAAACGGATTTGGATATTCCTATCTCGTATTAGTATTTATTTTTAATTTATTTTTTAAAATTCATAATTTGTCCAAAATTTTAACAAACATTAAAATTAATAAATTAAAGTAATCCTAAATTTTTTAAAACGTACACTTTAAATAATAAAGTACAAACTAAAATATCAATGTAACCAAATAATTAATATTCTAAATTTTTTAAAATATTTAAATTATCATTGAAACGACTTCAACCGAGTTCAGTGAATATTAAAGTTCTTATTACTCGTATCATCTTCTTCATTTAAAATATATGGAAAAAAACTTCAAATTAAATCAAAACAGTTTTTTCTTAAAATACAAGACATGTTTAAGCGGGTATGTGTACATACGAGTTTTGTTATCATGTCTTTTCATCACACCGCACTCTTGACAATGATAACGATGATAAAGTTGACTAGAGTGGAACACATGTAAATGTGCATATAAAACATCTTGAATGAGCTACCATTGTAAATGTGCATATAAAACATCTTGAATGAGCTACCATGGTAGGTGTCTCGAATAATATTTGGCGTTGAGAATGTCTCATAGAGTTTAAAATTTTATATAGTTAGTACTTCATGATATATACCTTTAACAAATCAACGTAGACAAAGATGGAATTCAAGAATTTCTCGGATGTGTCCTTTTTGTAATAAGGAGCATAGTTCATCTTTCATATGCTTTGAGTCTCTCGGTTTGCTACTCAAATTTGGGTTAATTCGGTTCCTATAGATAATATTGTTCAATTATTCTATGAGATTAAAGAGTGGATTTTTGCCAATCTGTGTCTTAGTGTTCATGATTAATTTTTATTTATTTATTAGAAAGATGATTATCAGATTAACAAAAAGGAAAGGTTACATCAGGTTTTGCAAGCGGATAACCCTTAAGTTAAATTTTAGACCTAAACTAATGTCCCAAACCAACAACATTATGGATATTTGCATTGAAACATCTATTGAAAAACATAATAGTACCAAAACCAAATTTACTGAGGAAAAACCTAAACTCCTCCGCAATGGGGTCGATATCTGCCAAACTCACCAAGGAGTTAATATAGTCCACAACCAACTTTGAATCAGATTAGATGAGAATGCTCTCAACCTTAAAGTCTATTGCCACATTGAGACACCATTTAATTGCCAAAATCTCAACCAAAACTGGAGGGACCATGAGGAACTCCTTCTTGCTAGCCACAAAAGAAATGCAAGAAGCATTATTTTTTTAAAAACGCAACCAAAAACCACAGAACCATAAGGGAAAACGCCTGCATCAACTTGAAAAATTGAAATCTTTGAGGGGACGGACTCCAGCGCCAAAGTAATAGGCGAACCTTTCTTAGCCAACACCTCTAGATTTCTGAGATTGTATTCCTCAACAGCAAACAACGCATTTGCAGCCACCCTTTGCAGGAAAATGACCTTTCGTTGATAGATCATGAGGTTTCCCGCGTGCCACACCTTCTGCACAATAACACATAACAACTGGGAGCACAAAAGATCCTTACAATCCAACAAACTCATAATCCATTCGCCTAATTCCATACTGCTAGGGGTACGGTAGTTGATGACAGAAGAGAAGAGAGCTTGTCGGGCAAAACACAATCCAAGAATAATGATGGGCAGATTCAGGGGCAAAATTGCAAAAGGAGCAAGTGACATCAAGCAAAATACCTTTCTTATGCAGATTCTCCTTTGTGGGCAAGACATTTTTAGCCAACCTCCAAAGAAAGTTGCGGTATCTAGGGAAGAGAGGAGCTTTCCAAATCTTCTTCCATTTTTTTTGGAATGGGGAGCTAGAAGGCCCAACCCTGATAGCAGCCTTGTGATGCATGCTGAAATGATAAGCAAATTGTACCGAATAGTCCCCGTCTCTCTCAAAATGCCAAATTAAAGCATCTATTTGGTTTCTAGTAGAAAGGGGAATGCTACAAATATGGTTTACCTCCGCAGGATCAAAGCTATTCCTTATAAGGTCCTTCTTCCAACAACAAAGATATATGTCAATAAGATCACTAACCTTAGAATCAACTTCAAAACCCCTAGTGCTGCCAATAATTTTAAAGCCAAGATTGTTTGGCAACTGACAGTCATTCAAGATCTTGACCTTTTCGCCATTACCGATTCTCCAAGGCGCCCTTTTTTAACCAAATCTCTCGCAGTAAGGATACTCCCCCAAGCATAGTTGAGGGCATAACCCACAAAACTCTCACCAATGGAACACCTTGGATAATATCGCCCTTTAAAATCTCTACCCACTAGAGAATCACCCCCTTTTAACAGACGCCAATATCGTTTCCCCAGCAGGCTGGTGTTGAATTCGCAGATGCCCCTAAACCTTATTCCTCTATCCCCTTTCGAACGGGCCATCTTGTCCCAACTTATCCAGTGAATCTTCCGCTCCCCATTCTTGGCTCCCCACTAAAACCTAGCCAACATCGCCTCCATCTCGTGAAAAACCTGTTCAGGGAGCTTGTAGCAACATATAATATAACTTGGGATAGCTTGCACAACTGCCTTAATGAAGATCTCCTTCCCAGACCTAGAAAGGAACTTTTCCTTCCACCCGTCAACTTTTTCCACACTTTCTCGACAACCAAAGAAAAAATAACCTTCTTGGATCGCTCAAAAATTACCGGTAAGCCCAGGTATCTAGAATGACTCAAAACTGTATTCATAACTAGCATAGTATGAATCTCTTCCTTCTCTTCAATTTTCACATTACGGTTGAAGGAGATTTCAGATTTGTCCAGATTCAGCTTCTGACCCGAGACAGCTTCGTAATCCTTTAGAATACCAGATATACGTTGTTCCTCTCTGGTGTTAGCTCTAGCAAAGAGAAGACAATCATCCTCAAAGAACAAATGGGATATTACCGGAGCCCTCCTAGTTACCCGAAAGCCATGGATACTCTTGTTAGACCATGTGCAATGGTGTGTTTAATTGAACTCAACATGGCAAAATCATGTGCAATGGTGTGTTTAGAGTAGTGTTGAGTGTGTGTTGGAGGAGAGAGATGTTGAGAAAACTCAACACCATGTACACTGACGCATGGGCTGACGTGGCAGCGGCTGGTTGGCTGACCAGATTTTTATTCATTTAATACTTTGAACTCAATTATTTCGTTGCAAATTAATATTTTTTTTTTTTTTTACCAAAATTCATGATTTTTTTCTCTATAAATAGAGACTTGGTTCATTTGATTTGGACACAAAAAAAACTAAGTTTTTCACTATCTTAATTTTATTATTAGTGTTTATTTTGAAGTTAAGTGTCTTTTTTAGTGAAATGGATCCCAATAATCATTTTAACACTCAAAATTCTGCTAATTTTCCATTTAACCAAAATCCCAACAATTTTCCAAATCCCAACAATTATCAAAATCCCAACTATTATCAAAATCCAAATCAATTTTCCAACCAACATCCTCAAAACATACCTAATTTTGGTTTTCCACCAAATTTCAACCAGACATCCTCTGTTCCAAACTTTCAAACATATTATGGATCTATGCCGAGAAATCCATCTCAAACACCCCCGTTTAATGGTTATGTGACAATGGCGAATGCAAATTTTCCAAGTGGTGGTGTACCTGAATTTCCCGAGTTTTCAACACAACTAACTATTGGTGGCATGATAGTTTCTAATGAAGTCGGTCCGAATTCAGAGGATTCAACTCCTAAGAGCAGGAAAACTCAGCAACCAGCATGGAACACTGAACAAAATTTGGTGCTAATTAGTGGGTGGATTAAATTTGGAACAAGCAGTGTTGTCGGGAGAAACCAGAAAGGTGAAACATATTGGGGTAAAATTGCTGAGTATTGTAATGAGCATTGCTCATTCGATCCTCCGCGTGATGGACCTGCATGCCGAAACCGTTTTAATTATATGAACAAAGTGTTGGGTAAATGGATTGGCGCTTATGATGGCGCTAAGCGTATGCAAGGAAGTGGTTGGTCGGAGAATGATGTTTTGGCAAAAGCGCATGAATTATATGCATGTGGGAAGAATGTTAGATTCACTTTAATGGAAGAATGGCACGCTCTCCGTGATCAACCACGTTATGGTAGTCAAGTAGGAGGAAATATTGGCTCAGGAAGTAGTGGATCTAAGAGATCTCGCGAGAGTGATGCATGTGGCTCAAACACTGTAGAATCCAGTGCTCGTCCTATAGGAAGGGAGGCAACTAAAAAAAAGGGTAAAAAGAAAAGCAAGGAATATGCCTCGGAGGTGGTGGACAAAGAATGGGCTGAATACAAAGAATTCAAGACGAAAGAGCTTGAACGATTGGACAACATAACCTTGATGCAACAGCAGGCTAACAATATAGCCTTGGAGAAGACTAAAACCAAGAAAATGAAGATGTATCTAAAGCTAACTTCCGAAGAGCATCTAGATGACCGGAAGAACCAGCTGTTGAAAAAGTTGGAGGCAGAACTGTTTGATAATTAATTTCAATGAAGTATTTGTCAGTGTTGTGTTTGCTTTAATTATTGTTGTTTCAATATGCCAGTGTTGTGTTTGCTTTAATTATTGTTGTTTCAATATGCCAGTGTAGTGTTTGCTTTAATTATTGTTGTTTCAATATGCCAGTGTAGTGTTTGCTTTAATTATTGTTGTTTCAATATGCCAGTGTAGTGTTTGCTTTAATTATTCCTTATCTGATAATTAACTCTATACAATAAATTATTTCGAATCCGTCAGTGGTCCACCACCCAATTCGAATCTATTCCTTATCTGATAATTAACTCTATACAATAAATTATTTCGAATCCGTCAGTGGTCCACCACCCAATTCGAATCTATTCCTTATCTGATAATTAACTATATACAATAAATTATTTTGAATCCGTCAGTGGTCCACCACCCACATCCATTTATATATAGGGACTCATACATCCATTTATGTACCAATATCCCAAATCCCATCCAATCTACCTCCAATATCACAAAAAAATGGATCCATCACAATATCATTTTGATATCGCAGCCTACAATCAAAATCGTGAAATTGAAGAAAATTATATAGTCAATCGATTTAGAGAGCGTAGAAACAAAATATCGGAAGATAATGCACCTCGTAGTAGAAAATATCTCAATAGAGATCATGCAGCGGCAAACCAAAGACTAATTGACGACTACTTTGCCAATGAGCCTACATATGACGATGCAATGTTTCGTCGTCGGTACCGGATGAAAAAAAATGTTTTCCTTCGAATCGTTGGGGACCTTTCAAGTAGTGATAACTACTTCACCCAGCGAGTTGATGCAGCCAATAAAGAAGGTATATCACCCTTAGCAAAATGTACCACAACAATGCGAATGTTAGCATATGGTGTGGCAGCAGATGCGGTCGATGAGTACATCAAAATAGGAGGTACTACAGCATTAGAGTGCTTACGTAGATTCTGTAAAGGAATCATACGCTTGTACGAGCAAGTGTATCTGAGAGCACCAACCCAAGATGACCTGCAAAGAATACTGCATGTTAGTGAAATGCGAGGGTTCCCAGGGATGATTGGGAGTATTGACTGCATGCACTGGGAGTGGAAAAATTGTCCTAAAGCATGGGAAGGACAATTTACTAGAGGGGATAAGGGAACCACCACAGTTATTCTTGAAGCAGTTGCATCTCATGACCTATGGATCTGGCATGCCTTTTTTGGATGTCCGGGAACGTTGAACGATATAAACGTTCTAGACCGGTCACCAGTGTTTGATGACGTGGAACAGGGAAAGGCTCCAAGTGTGAATTTCTTTGTGAATCAACGTCCATATAATATGGCATACTATCTAGCTGATGGTATCTACCCTTCTTATCCAACTTTCGTCAAATCGATTAGACTTCCTCAAAGTGAACCCGATAAATTATTTGCAAAATTTCAGGAGGGATGTCGGAAGGACATCGAACGTGCATTTGGAGTGCTCCAAGCTCGATTTAAAATCATCCGTGAACCAGCTCGCTTGTGGGACATAGCTGATTTGGGTATCATCATGAGGTCATGCATCATATTACATAATATGATTGTTGAGGATGAACGAGATTCATATTCTCAACGTTGGACCGATTTTGAGCAATCTGGGGAAAGTGGATCTAGTGCACCACAACCATACTCGACCGAGGTGTTACCCGCTTTTGCAAATCATGTGCGTGCTAGATCAGAGTTCCGTGATCCAAATGTTCATCAAGAATTGCAAGCCGATCTAGTGAAGCACATATGGACAAAGTTTGGAATGTTCCGTGATTGAATTATTTGTGTGTTGTATTGCATTTTAAATTATTTGTATCGTACTAATTACGTTACTTGTGTGTTGTATTGCATTTTAAATTATTTGTAACGTACTAATTACGTTAATTGTGTGTTGTATTTTAAATTAATTTAAGATGATTTGTATCGTATCCAATTATTTAAAAAAATTTTGTTTTTATTACAAAAAATTAAAAAATAAATTATTAAGTATTTATTATTTTAATTTAATTTTAATCGATAATTGTAATTTTATGTAATCATAAAAATAAAAATAAAATTTAAATAAGAATATGAAAATAAAAAGTGGTGGGGTAGGGTGTTGAGTGAAAAACCATTGGAGAGGGTAAAAGTTGAATGGGTGTTGAGTTATTAGGTGGAAGAAAGAGAAAATGATGTGGAGTGTTGGGAGTTGAAAAAGTGGGTGTTGAGTTTTTCAACCATTGTAAATGGTCTTATTAATCTCCCGCTTGATGAGGTCTGAAAGAACATCTGCGCAAAAATAAACAAGTAAGGTGAAAGGGGATTGATGCGTTTGCAAGTGCACGAAAATATCAAAGTAATATAAAAGATTGTCGAACCCACAAATACCAATGTTAACCTACTACAATCTATTGTTGCTTTGTAAAGCTAAGGCTAATGAATGATTGATTAAGGGGAAACTAAGACTAAAATAATATTAAAGAAATAGACAATAAAAAAGAGGGAGGAATGTGGATTTCGCGTGCCTCAAGGACTCCGTAACTCGTTGGATTTTAATTATACTAAAGATGTATTTAGTAGAAAATGTTAATTTAAAGACAATACCTCACACTCTTGTGGTCTTGAATAAAGTCACGCTCCTTAACCGTAGGATTTTGCTCTCGCTCTCCCAGTTGAATCAAGGAACGCGTTTTGAAAATTAAACAAGTTTTAATTGATCCCTAGAGCGCTCTCGCTCTCTTTAGGAATCAACGTCCTGTTTTTTCTATCTGATTCGATCTCCACGCTCTTGCAGTGCCGGTTCGAACCTTATTTAATTTCTCACTCTCGTGACAAAATCGTGCTAAGTAGCTTCTCACTCTCATTGGAAAGCTAATTAAATTAAATATAAAAACAACTGAAACTAAATTTTTGAAACAAATAATTAAGCCAACTTATCATCGAGTCCCGTCGGAAACGGTGACACTCACATACTGGACTCAAGACTTTTAGCCAGACATAGTTTTAAACATAAGCATTCTATTACGATACATAAACATAAGCCAAAACATGATTTAAAACAGAAATTAATTTAAACTAAGATGTGATCATAAACAGTTAGAATAAGCAATTAAAATGGAACCTGGAAATAAAATGAAAATTGGAATTACTGCTGGAATTATCTTTGCGCACAATAACATAAACATGAATTTTGAATATACCGACACGCTTGACAATCAGGTATATGAATGAAATTAAAACAGTTCCTAAAACTAGATTTGTGATAGCTCTTCTACACCGGAAAAACTATCACTTTTACATGTAAATTCTATGCTTAAAATTCTAAGAACAATCCTCTTATTCGAAAACGACCGAACCCCCTTCAACTATGAAGAATTGCACTTTTATAACCTCTCTGCTAGATTCTCGTAACATTCATAGAGACAAATTAGGGACTAGTGGCTTCATGGAGAAATAACCGGGAGACTCAGCTTGTGGAGAAATATCAAGGGCGAGTGGTATCGTGAGTACTGACATGGAGAAGGGTTGCAAGAATTAAA